TACAGCCTCCTTTCAGGTACTTGTAGAGTGATGAGGTCTCCCCAGACTGAAAACCTCCAGCACCTCAATGTCCTTCCTGAATTAAGGGCCCCTGAACTGGACACAGCATTCGAGGTGTGGCCTCACTAGTGCCAAGTACCAGACCTGCCCTGGTCCTGCTGGCCACACTGTTGCTGATACAGACCAGGCTGCCATTGGCCTTCTCACCCACCTGGGCTCAGGCTCAGCCACTGTTAACCTCCAGGTTCTTTTCCACTGGGATGCTTGTCTTCCCCTAGCCTGTAGCTCTGCAGAGGGTTGCTGTGTCTGAAGTGTAGGATCTATGATTTCACCTTGTTGACCCTCACACTGTTTGCCTCAGCCCATTGATCTAGCCTGTCCAGATCCCTCTGCAGAGCCTTCTTACTCTCTAGCAGATCAACACTTCCACCCAACTTGTGTCATCTGCGAGCTTACTAAGGGTACTCTCCAGCCCCTCATCCAGATGATTAATAAAGGTATTAAACAGGACTGGGCTCAATACTGAGCCCTGGGGAACCCCACTAGTGACCAGTCACCAGCTGAATGTGGCATCATTCACCACCACTCTCCAGGCTCAGCCATCCAAGCAGTTTTTAACTCTTTAGAGAAGAGTGAGCTCTAAGCCATGGGCTGCCAGCATCTCCAGAATGCTGTGGGAGATAGTATTGAAGGCTTTGCTGAAGTCAAGGTAGACTACATCCACAGACTTCCCTACTTGGCAGGTCACTTGGTCATAAAAGGATATTCCATTTTATTAAGTTTTCAGATTGAAAACAACGCCAAATCTATTTGCTTTTTTCATCCTCATACAGTTACTTTTATCCGGCTTCATACCACACTGACTGTTCATTCTGTTCTCTTGCTCTTCTCCTAGACAAATTGTTCAGGTATTAATTTAGTGATCTTAAGTGCAACATTCAGAGGAGGAGAAAACAAGTTTGCAGGCTGAACATCCCTCCAAGAGGTCCTCAGTCCTCATACTTTGCCTAGGGAAAAGCATTTTTCTGGGATTCATTTTCTCCTGTAGACCAGAGAACAGAAATGTTAAATGCTTAAGCACAGGTAATTGATAAGACAGCAGAGACAGCTTCTGTATAAAAAGAGAAGCTCTCTCTTCTCCTGGTGGACAAGAACAGATGCAGCCATACTGTAAATGTTTAATTGTTTAAATAGACCCATACATCCACATTGTAGATACAATATAGGTAGGAGACACAGATAATACTATATGATCATACATATGATAATATATAGTATCACATAGAGGTGAGTATATTTCAAAAGACTGACCCATTCACCAATCTTCTGACTAATTTTGAGGCATCAGCAGGACCGCAGGTCCCACAGAACACCTGAGGCTTTTCCAGGAGTGGAGACCAAACTCTGCAGAGTGATTTCTACCCAGTGCTGTTCTGCTTATTTGCTAACCAAATAAAACAAAAACCAAACCAACCAACCAAACCCCACCCGCTCCCCCCAAAACAAACAAAGAAATAAATAAATCGTTTTAGGAAGCTGGAAGACGAGTAAATAGATGAAGCGTTCTGTCGTGCCCGAGGAGTCTCCGATACCGTCGTGCTCTCACCGACTCTAGTGTCGGGGCCGGCTCGGTGTGAGCGGCCGCCCCCCACTCCCGCCGCCCGTGCCGG